AACCGCGTTGGCCATGCTTTTCTAAGCATCCTTTGACTTGATCTCCAGCAGCAGTTTTTAATACTTTCCCTACCAGTGGAGTTAAACTAACTGGCCTGCAATTTCCTGGGGTGTCCCTAAGCTCAATGAAATAACGGCATTAGGTTGGCGACCTTCCAGTTCTTCCAGCACTTTTCAGCCCCCACCCCCACCCCCCACCACGCAAACTTGGCATTGAAAAGGCCGGCGGACGCTTCCTGTCTCCCCTTCGTTTCTTCCATGACAGACTGCTCTTCGGTTCCCCAAGGGCCTGCCATTTTAATCACTTCGAACCTCTTTAATGTTCTCACATATTGTTTGTTCCTATCTCTGACGCATGAGTTTTCTGTGAAAAAATCTTGACAAGGGCCACCCCTCCAAAAACATAAAAGCTTCTAATTCTAAGGAGTAAGCGGTTCATTGCAGGAATGGTTTAAGAAATGCGTTTCCTAGAAAAGGTGGCACAGCAGGGACTCGGGTTAGGTCTGTATTCAGATGTAGCAATGAGTTCAGAGGGAGCAAAAATTGGAGGAATTATGTCATGCACCCAGGAAATAGGAAAATACAAGGATGACGTAGCAGGGATACTAACACAGTGTACTTGTTAGATTTGAAAGAGTAATTTTTGCGTGCTATATCTTATCATATGAGTGAGAATCGGCTAGAAGGCAGTTGAGTTTGGTGGTTTAGAGTTAGCTCTTCTTAGCCACACTTGGGTCATTACTTGCCAATTTCCTATATGAAAAATCTTTCTACAATTACCGACTCCCTGCACACAGCAGAAAGGCCCAATTTATATTTTAGATACATAGCTATTCATTTAAAAATTGAGTAATTTTATTACTGAAAGATGTAGCAAGGAAGATTAAGCAACATTTGCATTTGTAAAATTGGGGTGTATTGCTTAATTCTAAGGAGCGCCCTTCACTGTTATTAAAGTTTTGATAAATGACTATTTAAAACTATGTAAGTTCAACATTTGGAATGTTCTGTCATGGACTTCCAGCTTTAGGATTTTAAGAGTAGAATGAAAAGATATCACGGAAAAATGGAATTAGAAGATCATCAAAACTTCCCTTTTTGAAGCCCCCTTACCCATAGGATGCGCAAATGTAAGGCCTCCTTCACTTGGTGCATGTTTGGAAAGCATAACTACAAATGTGGTCCACATCCAGTCTTTGCTTGCTTCTACACCTTTGCCGGAGCTAATCCATTTTCTTAGAATGCTCCGTCCCACATGGGAGCTTAGAGACTGCCCTGTCTTTGAGCCTTGTAAGAGAGTTACTGGGCTTAATGGTGAATTAAAAAACAAACAGGAAGCCTGCAAACAACTCAAGACAGGCAGAGCCGCTGGGCAGCACAAGTGGTTAACTGCTTGGCTACGAAGGGAAAGGCTGGCTGCTCAAGCCTATTCCAGGGTGCCTCGGAAGAAAGACTTGGCAATCTGCTTCTAGATTACCAAGACCATCGGCACACAGTCCTACTCTACACACATGAAGCCACCCTGTGCTAGAATCGACTGGACAGCTTGCATGCACGTATCAGGCAAGATGATGCTTAACCCTAAGGTCTTCAATTTCCTAGTTCCCAAACGTCTTACTTTCTCAGAGCCTCCATTCCCCGTGTCCACTGCAAATGTTCGTATTTCCTGTAAGACCTGCCATGTGAATTGCTTAGGCGGATATGTTCAAAGGATCGGAATCATCGGCTCCCTCTTCTCTCTCTTCGCCATGCTACCAAGTCCTCTGCCAAATCGGCGGCTCTGAAGGGCCCCAGCTAGCTCTCCGCTGAGTCTCTCTGGGTGGCAATCCCAGCTTGTCTGAATTCCTAGACACGGTACCCATCCCCTCGTGGGCATGTCACTCTTTACTCTCTGGATCGTGACCCTGACTCGTTCAACATGTTTATTGAAAATATTATGTTTTCGGTAGACCTAGAGATACAGGCAGATCCATAATATACCTAACTTAGCCTTCAGTTTTTTGAGATAGAATATTGTGTGCTATCTTTTCTCTCATCTCCCACTGTCTGGAGAGTGTCGTGCACTCGTCATTGAACAGGGATCTAGTTGATGTTTGGGAAATATAAACCAGGCCAAACTCAAAACCAAACTCACTGCCATGGAGGCAGGGCTGACACAGAATGCTGCGGATAGGACAGGGTAGAACTCCCTAGGGAGTTGCTAAGACTTATCACACTGTGCGGGAGGAGAGAGCCTGGTCTTTCTCTTGCCAGTGGCTCAGTGTGCAACCATGAGGCCACCAGGGCTCCTTTGGCCATGGTGCCGGACTGGCCATATCTATATATCCATTTACTTATGTATCTACACCCTCAAGTCAGAAATGGAGCTTGAGGAAATCTCATGCCAGGGCCGAGGATATCCATCTTCGTCATCCTCACCATGAAAAAAATATACTTACAATACCACAAGAGCTAAAACTGCTGAGCCTCTACACAAAGGTGAATATTCTCTTCACATTCCCATAGGCATCCTTGGCGGCCTCCCTGCTACGGCAGAAGCATCCTTTCCCGGAGCGAAGGGGAATGAACAAATGGGCTCTAGCTTCGTCTCTGTGGAATCGCGGCAGCAAAAATCCAAGTCGGCATTCAAAGCGCTGTGGCTTAGAAGTAAAAGCTCTCTCATATATACAGTGCCACGGTTAGTTGAAATTCTAAGGTTTTAGGGGAAATGACACAATTTCAAATCGAGGCTGTGTACATACACCACTAGGCCATCTAAAGGAAGCTTAAGACAGTCCCTTAGGAATGTGGTCTTTGCTAGCCCAGACGTCTCGCAGCATTCCTGGAAACATGGAAGGTAGTTCTGAATCCCAGTGACGATGAACTGCACTGGCTCGGAGTAAAGTCTCACATCATTGGCTGCTGCTTCCGAGGCACCACAGGCTGAGAAGCCAGAGCTAAATATAAAGCAAAGAAGACAGGCCTCTGATTTGAGGCCAAACAGAGAACCCTGAAACCACAAGTTACCGTGTGTAAGTAAGCATATGGTCTTTAAGGTGTGTTGGTAGGTTATCACCCTTTCTTGGCCACTGCAAAGTTCCCTTTGAGGAGGAAAATTGAAGACTTCCTAAAAAAAAAAGCTCCGGAGGAGTGCACCTGTGGCAAGTGTGACCAAGTTGTTCCAGACCACGTGGGACTTGAAACAAAAACAGCCACGTGCAACTCAAAAATTCAGAGGCTCCCAAAGATTTTTGACTTCTGGGCTCTTCCATGGCCACTCATAGCTACCTTTGGTCTCTCTGGATGCACTGCCAGTGCCATGCATTTCCGTTCACCTGGGCAGAGGTGTATGGTGACAGTCCCTGAACATTCCTAAGTATGGAGGGACTGAGACTAGAAATGGGCCCCTTTAGATGTGCAATCTATTTTTGACTGATGCTGACCCGGAGCCAGACTTTACTTTCTGTTTTTATCCATTTT